TTTTTTTTCTGGTCAGCAGAATTTGTTTATGTCAGACCACCGATAACCTATGGCATAGCTGAAAACGAAAAATTCTTACTCTAGAATTGAGTTATTCACAGACATACATTGAGTATTATACTAAATCGCTCATTGTAGGCTATGCTTGCGATCTATCCAGGCAACGGCACGAGATACATAAAACATGTTGACAACCCAGTGAAAGATGGGCGATGTATCACCACAATTTATTACTGTAATCAGGACTGGGATATCAATAAGGCAATTTCAATTGCATTAACCTCATGTCACATTTTGTAATTTGATTCATGCTCAATTTTAGGATGGAGGAACACTGCGTTTATATCCAGAAACTTCTATGATACCCATGGATATCGACCCTAAGGCTGACCGGCTAGTGTTTTTCTGGTCAGATCGACGCAACCCGCACGAAGTTATGCCGGTTTTTAGACCTAGGTTAGCTTAATACGTCGTGATCTTAAGGTGCTATTCATTGAACATTTATTTTTTCTCTTTTGTTGTCGAAGGGATCCAGAACATTCAACAATTGATACATAAACTAGAGAATAATATCACATGTATACAAAGATCTCTAAAAACAACTTGCTTTTGCGTTCTGATCGTGATGCACTTTATGCGTTTGCTAAGTGGACGATTGTGCGCTATTTTTGGAAGTGATCTGATTCAAGTGAACGCTAAATATATCGAGAGAAACAATATGTAGGGGTGTAACAGACATCTGGTATACGTTTGAAGAATCTTCATATTCGTTCGAGAAAAGCAAGCATGTTTGAGAATATAAAGGCCTACTTATTGTGATACAAGAATCTAGTTGTCTTATTGACAGCATTTCAAATGGCAAAAGTTTAGAATTCCTTAACTATCGAGAAATATTATGATGCTGGCCTTATAATATGAAAACATAATACAAAATGAAATTGTACAAAAATCATTCTACATACCGTAGTAAACACTGAACGATCACTTATAATCATCTTACAAAACTTTTCTCTCCGATATTATTATTCCAAAGTCTGATCACCTGTAGGCATCATTGCAAATCATTTTTCTTAGACTTTTTTTTGCTCAGTATCAACCCGTTGAAATGCATTAAGTCTTCTTTTCCCCAGCTACTTACGCCGTTCTCTAGATTTGCTGTAACGATCTGGTACATGGATCGAGAAGAGCGGCGGAAAGCTATTGAAGAACAGTCACATGAAACGGAAGAGGACAACTCAGCTATGGAGGCAGGCGAACGTACAGTGAGCGTACTTCCTTTTCGATTGAGTTCAGACTGCTTATGGTGGAACAGTTGAGAAGAAAGACACGTATGCTTTGTTACACCGAAATGCGACCATTTGTGGAGTGAGCGGGAACGATAATGTTTATGTACGTGTAATTAATGAAAGCGTGCGGATTTCCTATCAGAGGCGTTTTTTTTT